GTTGCGAGCCGGCGATTGGGCCGCCGCCTCGAGGAGTCTGCTCCGGAGCAAGGCTCCCTCTAAGCTGTGGAGTCCTGTGAGCAAAAATGCTACTTGGTGAGCTCCTGGCGTTAAAGCTGTGAGCGAGCGATTCGGCTCCTGCATTAGTTTGCTCTGGAGCCCCATCCCTTCCTGAGCGGAGACAAAGATGTGTGAGCCGGAGGCTAAGAAACTGAGCTGGCTCACACTCACTCAGCTTAGAGGGAACACTGCTGGAAGCGAGGCTCCCTCTAAGCTGTGGCGTCTCTGAGCAAAAATGCTACTTTGTGAGCTGCTGGCATTCAAGTTGTGAGCGAGCGATTCGGCTACTGCATCAATTAGTTTGCTCTGGAGCCCCATCCCTTCCTGAGCGGAGACAAAGATGTGTGAGCCGGAGGCTAAGAAACTGAGCTGGCTCACACTCACTCAGCTTAGAGGGAACACTGCTGGAAGCGAGGCTCCCTCTAAGCTGTGGAGTCCTGTGAGCAAAAATGCTACTTTGTGAACTCCTGGCGTTAAAGCTGTGAGCGAGCGATTGGGCTCCTGCATACATTAGTCTGCTCTGGAGCCCTCCTTCCTGAGCTAAGACAAAAATGCGTGCGCCGGAGGCTAAAAAACTGTGAGCTGGCTCACACTCACTCAGCTTAGAGGGAACACTGCTCTGGAGCCACATCCCCTTCCCGAGGGGAGCGGGGAGTGGCCGAGCCGGGGGCTAAGCAGCGGCGAGCCGGCTCACCCAGATCCGCGCTGAGAGGGAGCGCGGCTTAAGTGGGAAGCGGCGCCCCTTCGGAGGCCGTGGCCAAGCAATGCCCACTTTGTGGGCGAGGGATTTGGGCGGCGGCTGCTGCGGCATCAATGATGGGTGTGAGCCGGAGGCTAAAAGACTGAGGTCGCTCACACGGACTCGGCTTAGAGGGAACCCGGCTTCGGTTTGGAAGCGCTGCTCCCTCCCAGCTGTGGAGTCCCGCGAGCAGTGTTCCCTCTCAGCTGAGTGAGTGTGAGCCAGCTCACAGTTTTTTAGCCTCCGGCTCACCCGTTTTTGTCTCAGCTCAGGGAGGAGGGCTCCAGAGCAAACTCATGGATGCAGTAGTAGCCAAATCGCGCGCTCACAGCTTTAATGCCGGCAGCTCACAAAGTGGAATTTTTGCTCACGAGACTCCACAGCTTGGAGGGAGCATTGCTCGTGAGCAGAAATTCTCCTCTGCGAGCTGCGGGCATTAAAAGCTGTGCGCGAGCGGTCTGGCTCAATGAG